GATTTTCTTACTAGGCTTTATTGCTCACCCTACCAAAAATATTTTTCAGATTTCGGTATTGAGGAGGTCCCAGGACTAGGTGAGTAGGTAGATTGGAATACTGAGGTGGATCATGATGTAGATCCGAAAGTGGACGTTTAGTGATACTTTCCCTAGTTTATAGTTTTAAATTTTAATGAATTGATATTGTCATGGATGTTCTTTAGTTAGTTGTAGAAGAATATTTACTTTGGTTTGGATTTAACCTTAATGATTTATTTAAGTTTGATTTGAGATTTATCTAATTAGATATTGAATGATGAATGGTTTTATTTATTTAATGGTACTTTAGTATTCTCTCATGGTTTAATGGTTGATAGATAATTAATGTTTCCACTATAGATTTTAGGACGTTACAAGTTGGTATCAGATCCTATAGATTAGATCTTACATGGGAGTTGTATGTTTTGGGATCACTCACTCGAAATGTTCGTATAACTTGGAAGAAATATTAAGCTTGAATCATTGGGAGTTTTTTGTTTATGTGTTAAGCATGAGTTGGTGTTTATAGCTTTATAGCGGAAACTAAACTGCGTTTTAATGTGCAGAATGGAGGGTAAGAGAGGATGTGACCGCCCGACTATTCCAGCTAGAAACCAAGCCCCACCACCACCTTAAGATGCTACAAGCGACATCTATCAATGTTTGAGGGACTTGACCACCTTAGCACATAACTAGAACGAGAATAACAATAATCACAATGGGGTTGTCCAGCCTTTAGCTCAAAGACAGATCAACGAGAATGAGAACCGAAGGCTGATGGTTCTCTGGGAATTTTTAAGGCAACATCCACCCACTTTTCAGGGAAGCTTTAACCCTATGGATGCTAACTAATGGATTAGACGAGTGAAGAAGATGAATATAGTATGGGGATTGCTGAGTTTCTCTGAGTCGAGATGGCTACTTATATTTTGGGAGGAGAGACAGACCACTGGTGGGACTTAGTTAAGAGGCTACAAAACATGGATGCCATGACCTGGGAGGCCTTTGACCAAGTATTCCAAGACAAGTACTTCCCTGAATCTATAAAAGACAAGATTAGAGCAGACTTCTTAGCACTATGACAAAACAATATTATCGTAGCTCAGTATAAAAGAAAGTTTGATGAATTATCTCGCTACACTACAAAGTTTGTTTCTACCGAAGCCAAGAGGGCTAAGAGGTTCGAGCAAGGCTTGAGACCTACCATTCAAGAGACGTTCGTTGCTCTAAAAAATTAGAAAGTATGGAGGACTTGTTTGAGAGGGCTACATTGGTAGAAAGGGATATTGAGGATAACTAGAGGAGACATACTTTGGCAAGGGGAGATCCAATTAGGACAAGCAACAATAGTGGAGGAGTGTAGAGGGTGGTCCCATATCGCAACCCAGATCAAATTACTGGGCAAAGGAATCCACTGGTTCGGGGAACTTGGGCTTGCCAAAGAGGAAAAACGTGGATACCTAACTATGCTTTGGTTGTGGAGGGTTTGGGCATCTTAAGAGCAACTATCCATATGTTCCACAGCTGGGACAGCCTAACCGTGGACAAAATCAGTAAGAACACTCAAGCTGTAGGACAATCGCATCAGAATAAGCTACCACCACAGAAGCAACTACAGTAAAGAAACCATGGAGCTAGAGCAACAAGTGGAAAACAACCAAGGTCAAGTTTTTGCTATAACCCAATAGGATGAGAATGCTTCCAACACCGTGGTGGAAGGTATTGTTTTTTTGTATAATTCATGGGCACGCATTATATTTGATTCTGGTGCCACAAACTCTTTTACATGCATGACCTATGCTTTGACATTAGGGTTGGAATTTGATAGCCTAGAAAGTGTTTTAAATATTGATTTACCTACTAGGAATGGTTTGATACATTTATTGTGTGTAGGGGTAGTATTCCGCTTCAAAAATGAGCGAAATTCTTTCCACCCATTTTTCACTACGGGTAATTGATTTCTAAAAGGTAAGGGAAGGAGTAGTTTGAACTTTCTAGCCAACATAATGGGGGAGATGAACGAGTTGAATCTCAGTCTAACTACATATTGGTGGTGTCAAATTTTCTGGATGTCTTCCCAAATGAACAGTTTGTATTACTCCCACATAGAAAGATCGAATTTGCTATTGATTTATCTCTGAATACTAAACCCATATCCATTTCTCCTTATTGCAGGACATGTTTGGAGTTAAAAGAGCTAAGGAAGCACTTGGACCAACTGTTGGCTATTAGGTTTATTCATCGAAGCATTTCACCTTGGGGAGCACCAGTCCTCTTTGTGAAGAAGAATGATGAGATGCTCGGGCTATGTATCGATTATAGGAAGTTGAATCAAGTGACTGTAAAGAATAGGTATTCACTACCTTGGATTGATGATTTGTGTGATCAGCTAAGGGGTTCTAGGTACTACTCTAAGATTGATCTTCATACTGAGTACCATTAGCTGAGAATAAAGGAGGAGGATATTCCTTTGACAACTTTTCATACTAACGTTCCTGCAGCTTTTAAGGTGTTTAGAACTTATCTAGATCAATTTTTTTTTTATTTATCATTTTCATTGATGAAATTTTGGTCTATTTAAGGACACATGAGGAGCATGCACAACACATCCAGTTGGTGCTACAAAAATTATGGGGGCATAAGTTGTATGTAAAGATAAGTAAATGTGAGTTTTTGATGAAGGAGGTTAAGTTCTTTGGATACGTGGTGTCAGAATAGGGAGTAGTGATAGACCAAGCAAAAATTGAGGTAGTAATGAAGTGGGAATGACATCAAAATGTAACAAAAATCTGTAGTTTCTTGCATCTAGCAGGTTACTATAGGAGGTTCATGGAAGGGTTTTCTCAAGTAGATATGCAGATGACCCATCTTACGAAGAAGGGGGAAATGTTCTTGTGGACCTAGGATTATGAACAAGCCTTACCATTTTGAAGTAGAAGTTCACTACCGCAACAGTATTCATTATTTTTTATAGTGATAAGGGCTACTATATTTACACAGATGCTTCGCTATGAGGTTTGGGTTGTATGTTGATGCAGAAGGGGAAGGTGGTTGCTTATGGTTTGAGATAGTTGAAGATCCATGAACAAAATTACCCCTACCCATGATTTGGAGCTTGCAACAGTGGTGTTTGCTATCAAGTTATGGAGGTGTTATTTGTAAGGAGGGAAATTTTAGGCTTATTCCGATCATAAGAGCCATAAGTAAATCTTCACTCAAAAGGATTTAAACCTTTGACAAAGGCGATGGATAGAGTACTTGTAAGATTATAAATTCAAGTTGAATTATCATCTAGGGAAGGCTAACATCGTGGCAGATGCACTGAATAAGAAGTCCCATGGAGGAATGAATTGTATGACTGTAAAAAAGTGGAAGATGGTGGAAGCTTTGGAAGAATTTGATCTTCATGTGGGAAAAATGAGAATCGACCATGTGTGTTCAACCTAGTAGCTCAACCCGTAATACAACAAAGGGTTGTAGAGTTACAACGTTAGATCAACAATTGGAGGCGATTTAGAATCTATTGGATAGAGGGGAGACTGTAGAGGATTGGTCCTTACATAAGGATGAGTTAAGTTTTCAAGGGAGATTGTGTATATCAGATGATAACCAACTGAAAGAAGATGTTTTGGATGAAAGCCACCATTTGAGATTTGCAATCCATCCCAGTAACAAAATGTATTGAGGTCTAAAACGCTAGTATTGGTGGAAGAGGATGACGAGAGATATAGCTAAATTTGTAGCTAAGTGTGTAGTTTACCAACAAGTGAAGATTGAACATTAGAAATTGGGAGATCACTATTGAGGAGGACCCCGGACTAGATGAGCAGATATATTGGGATGCTAGGGTAGATCACAATGCAGATCCAAAAGTGGATGTTTAGTGTTCTTAATTTTAATGAATTGATATTGCCATGAATGTTCTTTAGTTAGTTGTTGAAGAATATTTACTTTGGTTTGGATTTAACCTTTAGGATTTATTTATATTTTTTTTGAGATTTGTCTAATTAAATATTGAATGATGAATGGTGTAGTTATTTAATGGTATTTTAAAATGTTCTCATAGTTTAATGGTTGATAGATAGTTAATGTCTTTATTGTGAATTTTGGGGTATTACACTTACCCTAATAGGTAGTAACCTTACCTATTTATTGTAAATGCTCCTTCATTGGTAGTACTAAGAGCATCTCCAATGCTTATCCTTTTTAAAATTTAGTTTAAAAAAGAAATCCCTTAAAAACATTCTCCAACACTACACTTATACCCAAATCGAATGAAGGAAGACTAATTTTTTTACTCAAATTAAAGGAGAGTTAAATTCATACTTAAATCTTAATGGTAAAATTTTACTCTCTTTTAATAGTTTATCCTCTTTTAAATTTAAATTTCTTTTCCATTAAATTTAAGTTTCTCTATTGGAAAACTTTATACTAAATCTAACTTTTTATTATTTCTTTTACTCAAATTTGAGTAAAAATTTGAGTTTGCATCGAAGACTCATCACTTTTATTGTACAAATCAGGACAAATTAGATTTGTACAATACAAATTAGATTTGTACTATCTGGCACAGAGAATCTCTTTTCTCACTTTTAAACGAAAACCAGTTTAAGAAATCACCGGTTAACTGATTGGGAAACTCAAAAAGCACAAGCAATGTTGGTTTTTCGGTACAGTACCCAAAAACTAAAGGTCTGTACCGTAGTCGGGTCCCAATCAATAAGAGAATAACACTTTCTCGATGACCCGTCCCTATTCCTAGCTGCGTGGAGAGGGGGCGGTCATCTATGTACACATCAGTTGTACTTGAGACGAGCAGTAAGATGGAAAAGCTCCCATCTTGAATTGTATGACTTGAGCAGCTGTGCTTACCAGCCTCCCCCTCCCTGTTCCCTCCCCCCAAATGACAAAAAAGCTCGAAAAAAAACAGAACAGAAAATGGAAGGATGACTTACGCCTTGGACCAAATACAAAAAACAATGTCCAAAAGCACAAAGTAGCCATATAGTTTGGTCATGGTGGAAGTTTGGAGATACATCAAGTTAATACCACGTCCCAAAAGACATTAATCGGCAAAATATGTGCAGAAACGGCTATGCACATTGAAAACAGGCTCCTACTACCTTGAAACTATCAGGATTCTGACGCGACCATGTATCAAAATAGTTTCTTCCAGAAATACTATGGAAGATCAGACTGCTATCCCGTGTAACCCACTAATTTAGCAGAAAACAAACAAACTAGACACCCAATGTCGCAAAAACAATCCTTCAGGGGAGAACTAGACAATCATTAGGTAAATGCGAGACAACCTGGGATGCAAGAGAGTTGCGAAGATCTTTCTCCAAATTCAAGCTACTATACTCTGACGACCCAACCTCCTGTAAACAAACTGCTTCCGAGATGTAAATCTTCAACTCTTGAAACCTGTCCTCTGGTAGGGAAACCTTAGAAAGAAGTCTCCAAGCATAATCCTCAGAGGCATCATCATAATCCTTCCTTCTCTTGAGTACCATATGGCCACTGATTTCCCACACAGCAGGGTTCACTTGGGTGTCCAGAAGCTCCTGGCTTACTTCTCCTAGTGCTTGTTGCTCTGCATAGCACTGATATCCAAAAGCAACAAATCCCTTTAGGTCTTAGAGATGAAACTAGAAAATATAATTAAGAGCAAATAACTACACAGTTATAAACCCCTCCCTCCCCCCACCAAGCAATGTAAAACCGACAGGTGTGCAGATTTGCGAGACGTGTGCCTCTGTCTGCATACATCTCTTTGTGTGTATGCATGGGTGCATGTGGTCGTCTTATATGTGGTACTGAGAATATGCCAAGAAGTTCAACCCTGAGGGCTTTTGCAAGAAAAAAAACTCTCAAGACTTAAAAATATGTTTGCCATGGTGAAATTAAGGAAGTTCAGGGTAGTTTTTTGTGAGAAAAATATTAGTTATATAAAGAGTCACTAAGATCAACCCAAAGATCCATGTAACTGATTTCAAACTTAGAACCAAAAATATTCTCAAAGGGTCCAGCTTCATGAAAAAGCCAAATGTCCTTGAGTAATGACAATTAAAGATATTCGGAGAATATTAATAAGATTATAATTAGTTATAAGGAAAAGGAATTATTTTCATGCCAAAATGAAGGGGTATGGAGACTTAACAAAAGGAATGATTATTTCACCAAATCTTATCCAAACAAAGCAGAAATGCATGCCAGAGTGCATGCAAACTGGTGTTCTTACTTAGTCCACAGATTTTATACAGAATAAATCATAAGTGTCCCATGGTGCCTAAATTTAAATGCAAACTCCAAAATTCTACATTCCCATAACACCAGTCCAACTCAAGTGTTCCGACAGCATCCACCAATAAATATTACAATCCAGGCAACCAGTGCGAGAACTATTACCTGAGGGAATAAAAAGATTCTTTTCCCACAATCAGAGATGAGGACATTAAAAGGAATGTTGCGATTTTGAAGGCATATGCAAGAATTAGCAATGGCATCACACAAATCACGCATTGTGTTTCCACCCTCAAAAACAAGACCTCGTACAGGATAATTTAGCAGCTGTGAAACCACCACTGCACCATCACGCAGTCCCTTCCCAGTTATTATTCTCTGAGTCGGTGCCTTCTCAACCGGAAATGGCACAGATAGGTAATATGCCTGTTAATCACATACAAGTAGGAAACTAGTTAGTCACAACCAAAAACCATAGAACCGGCTAAAAACATCACAACCTGAGATTACAATTCCACGTTTCAGTCTATTACCTGAAAGTGGAGGTGATTGATGGTGGCAAAAGCACCCAAGCTGTTGTAACCCACCCTGAAGAAGGGATCTGCTGCTTCTTTAGCCAAGTGAAGAGCCAGCAAGCAGCTGCCAGGATCAATCCTCTGAGGCAAGCAATCAAGGACACAGGGAATCAGAAGCACATGCCCATACTCGATTGGGCTCACCTGAAGAATTAAAATTCAGAAATTGCATGAGCCAAAACATATACTACAAATTGCATAAAACCGAGATAAAAGGGATGAATTGCTTACGTTGATCGCAACAACACTTGGTGAAGTTGAATCAACATTGACTGGCACACTAGGATAGAAATGGGACGTGCTAGAATTGCTTGGCTCAAACCTAAAGAGCACTTCTTCCTGTCCAACTTTTGTGAAGTTGAATTTGTTCTCATCAAAGGGTTGAAGAACCTGGTCAACACGAAATTCAGTAGGTCGTTTCTTCAAGTGGCGTCCCTCGTTCAGCTGTGCAATGAAACTGTATGTCCCTGGGATGACCTTTGTCTCACATGTGGTCACGTCATATTGGAACAGCCCCCGACTCATCCGGTCCTCCCACTGTCCCAGTAACAAATGGCTCAAAAAGGACACTGAAGGTTCCTCAATTGAAGAAATCAGGGCAATCTTTTCAGCGGGCTCAAGCTGCTCAACCTCATCGTTGTTGAATGCATAAAGGGGAAGCTTAGAAGCTGAAACCATCAATTAATTCAATCAAATACAGACCCAAAAAAAAAGAATGCAAAACCAGGAGATTAACAGTATAGTTCTTAAAAAAAAAAAAAAATCCAAGTTTCTCTCCCATCAACAATTTTAGGTTGAGAGGACAATCTTTTTTTATTTTCTAGGGAACTTCTGCAGAAAAGTGTTAAATGTTAAATTATGGAAGAAGGAAATAAATCACTTGGCAGTTATACCAAATACAGCCACTAGACTTGTGAAAGGACAGGATCGGATATTTGAACCATAAAACAATGACAACCCAAAACTAATCCATTAACTTATATTTTCAACTTCCTTTTGCCGGTTTATCCAAGGCAAAATCCACTTTTAACACGAAATCTGTTCAATTGCACGGAAAAGACATAGAAATTACAGGAAAAATCTTTTCTTGGAACTCAGATTATGTTTCAAAGTAATTTAATTCCAAAACACTTCTAATGCACTGGATTTCACAGCAATTAACTTTGTTTCTGCACAGAAATTTTTCTAAGACGGGAAGAAAAAATTTTCCCGCCATAGAAGCAAACAGCTCTAATACACTTTATTGCAATGTATCAATTATAATTATATGAAAAAAAACAGAGGGAAAAAATACGTACCAGGGAAGCAGCACTTGCCAAGGCAATGGCGGCCACAACCGATTAGGGTTTCGGTTTGGTATTGGGTGTTTTCTGAAGCATCTTCTTGGTAGTTGGAAACGACGGTAGGAACCCTTTTAATAGTCAACATAAATGTTTCGTTTGTAATTCAGTATATATATATACGTATAGGACTGTTAAATTAGGGGAAATTTTTGGTTTCCCGAAAAAAAAAATAACGAAATTTCAAGAAAAGAAATCAATCAGCAAGAAGAAAAAAGGGGTGGCACGGGGAGAGAAAACAACGTCGCCGCCGCCGCCGGCGAGGAACAGAAGATCGGACGGGCAACCGCCTTCGGAAGGTAGGGCACCCCTGCCGCCGTGTGCGGAAGGGTTCCGGTGCTTTTCCGGCGTCGAATTCAGTGATTTATGAATCGTTGGGTTTGGTTGATGATGATCGGTAAGGTGGATTTTGAAACCGAAATTTCCAAGTAAAGCCGTGATGAAATTTTTGGTGGTTATGAATGAATTCTGTCTCTGTCTATTTGTGGGAGGTGTTTATGGGTGGTGGGTGGAACGTTCCTTCCTCGGAGTCCTCTCCTTCGCTGCTTTCTTCGTTTTTTCAAGTAAATCTGAATTTGGCTGGGTGGGAATAGCCGAATAGGAGAATGGTGGTGACACTGAATATGGAATGGCGGCCAATTTCTTGAATTCCCAAGTTGTCAAGGGTCCAACTACCGTACTACGCGTTAAATTTTGATACTTTTATTAGAAAAAAAAAATGATAATTACAAATTGGGCAAATGGTACTTTGCAGATCGAAAGATCTCTCTCCATTCGCAATATTTTTTAAAATATTATAATTGTCGTATTACACCTTCAATAAAATAACAAGATAATAGTGTGCTCTATTTTTAAAAATGTTGGGTATATTTTTTGTAAAAATGCATAAAATTATGTATTTTGTTAATTGATGATGTACAAAATAGTCTCATACAAAATTAACATTCAAATGTGTGATATTATGTAAATAACGAGACAATTAACAGGACAATCAATGACAATAATGTAAATATCAAGATAATGTACAGATATATAGTGGTTCAATCCGGATAACATACTGCACTCTGGGAAATAGCAACGATGACTAAAGAACCTTTATTAATGAATAAAGTAAAAGAGAGAGAGAGAGAAAGCTCTAGGAAAGGAACAATAGTTAAAAGAGAGAAAAATTATCTCAGAGCTGTAGAGATCTGTAAAAATTTGTCTTTTTCATGTACAGAAGGTTTACAATTTTAGTATGTTAGACTGGTCAAATTTTGGGACCAAATTAAAGTCTACATGACATGACAGTTGACTTGGGGCTTATTTGATTTGTGTCATGTCATTTGAGCCCCAATAAAAACTTCAAATAATCAACTGTCATGTCATTTAGGCGATGNAAATAATCAACTGTCATGTCATTTAGGCTCCAAATTTGATCAGTATAGCATTACTCTTACAACTTATAAGCGTGGAGTCTTGATTTGAGGCGATTATATGCGAGTAAAGACACTAGTCCTTTGAAGAGGACATCTACAAAAGGTAAGTATACTTAAAATTGCATAGATCTTCGAAAGTAAGTATCCCGATGATCTCTCTCTCACGTGCTCTTATCTTTCTGGCTTTTTGAATGTTGGACTGGATCGAATTGATGAACCGGACTGTGCCTGCCTTTTTAAAGGATTTGAACTTGCTTGATTTATTGGGTCTGACCTAATTAGATATTGGCTCGTCACTAACAATTATATATAGAAATGAGAAAATATAATAAATACAACAAGAACATTTATGAAATAGGCAACAAATATTTGTTTTTGAATTATATTGTTTTCTTTTTATTTGATTGCTTTCAGGGTGTAAAATAAAATTTTGAGATTTTTTTAAGATATAAAGTGTCATTTACTCTTAAAAATAAAGTGAAATACATTAATNTAAAATTTTGAGATTTTTTTAAGATATAAAGTGTCATTTACTCTTAAAAATAAAGTGAAATACATTAATGTATTCAAGTATGATACTGAAATAATTTTTGATACTATAAATTATGTTTTCTTAATTCTTTTCCCGCTAAAGTCTAAACCCTTATTTTGCAATAAACGTAATTTTCATTCTTTTAATTTTTTTTCTGGAAAGTCATCCTTTCAATTTTTTATGAATGAAAGAGAAAGCAGTTTTATTCGACAAATAGGTAAAATTAGCAGGCTTGGGCCAAAATAATAATAATAACAAAAGAAAATTCTACATATAATTAGTCTTTAAAAAAATTGGGGCCCATTTCCCATGGTGGCCTATGCAATGGCCTACATGATCTTACCATTAAGGCGAATCTCTCAGTTTTCAAAATCTTCATTACGTGACTAGAATTTATAATTTTTTGATGATTTGTTCAAAGTTTTTATAAAATATAAATATTTCATAACATAATAGTTTAAGAATGTAGTTGGTGTTCAATGAGAAATGGAAAATTTGCAATAACATTTACTGTTAAAAATTTTGATAGATCTTTATTAGTTTATGAATTATTTTGAAACACTTTTAAGTAGTTATTTAGAATTATTGAACAATTTTGTAACAAAACTATATGAAAATGTTAATAGATATTTTCTTGTTTACGCTACCTATTAAAGTGTAATTCTAGAATTTGTTAATTTTAACTTTGAAGTGTTCACAATTTAACAAAATCCATATGTACAAATCTTCTTTTTCAACTCTTTATCCTTATATTTTCATTACCGTCTCATGCCTGACTCTTTGGAAAGTATAGAAGTATTGAAATAGTTCAATTTGAGGATACTGGTGAAGAATGGAAAATCCATACCGTCCTACTAAAGAAGTTTGCAAGGAAGGGGACGTGTCAAACACTTACCTTTGCAACTAAGTCCAGTGCGAGAATCCTTTAATTGACATTTTGTTTCGTCACAAGCAAGTTTTCTTAGTTCACAAATTAGTTTAAAACACTTTTAAATAGTTATTTTCACAAGTTATTAAGAATTATTGAACCATTTTGTAATAAATTATTTCAAAATATTGACAAGTTTTTTCTAATTTCCACTACCTGTCAATTGTATTTTTGTAGAATTGGCAAATTTTACCTTGCAAGTATTCACAGTGGAACATATTTTGATGTGCACGTATATTCTTTCTTCGGATTTTTATCCTTATACTTTCAATATCGTCTCATGCACGACTCTTTGGAAAGTATAGAAGTATTGAAATAATTAAGTCTATGACTACAACAAGGAATGAGACATCCAAACCGTAATACTACTAAAGTTTGCAATCAAGGGACGTTGCGTTCTTTTAAGTCTTTTCCAATTAAGTCTAGCACGATAACCTTTTAGTTAACTTTGCGATAGGTAGCCAACAAGTGGAGAAAATATTTATTACAATGGTGATATCACGTGACAATAATGTGGTATTAAGGGTGTTCACCTTACCTTATAGATAGAAATTAAGGTATTTCATTTTTCTATCCAATACTCTGCAAACAAATTTTTTTTTTGACCTAATCTATTCGATCAAGTGTACTATTTCTACTCGAATTCTATCCAAAACAATCGGATAGGAAGTCGGGTAAGAATTGAGTGAACACATATTTTTTAGTTATTAATTTTTAGATCATTTTAACAATTTAATTAAGTAATTTGCACCAATTTTAACACACTAAATCAATAACACTAAAAAAACATAATAAATTTAATAATATATAAACAATTACAAGAAAGCACAACAAGAAAGCCATAAACATCAATACATCATAAGAAAGCCACAAATATCAATAAAACATTATGATTTATAGATTTCTAGATTTAATTTTCACGGATTAATATATATATAAAATAAAGTATAATACAATTTAAATTTCAAAAGATAAATAAAATGACTTCTACTTTTTGCGATAAAAAACGTTTTAAATTTTATTTTAAAGTTAATCTGACAACTAATATTAACTTTTCAAATTTAATAGGAAACATAGACTCTCTAAAGAAGTATTTGAGATAACTTTTCAAAAGTGTTTCTCATAAGTACTTTACAAAAAAAAAAAATAGTGTTTAGAACCACCCCCCCATTGTCCCACTATTACCACTAGCATTGCCCCACAACCACCACCACCACCACCACCACTACCACCACCGTTGCTACCATCCTACCACCACAATCATCACCGCCGCCACTACCACAATCACCACCACCATCATCGCAATCGCCATCACCACCACCCATCACCCAACACCACAACCACCATCATCATACACCACCAATTGCTACTACCGTCACCCACCGTCACCACCCATCACCATCATCATCTTATTTTTATATTTATTACTACTACCACCATTATCCCACCGTAGCCCACTGCACCATCACCGTCGTCGCCCTATCACCGTTGCCACCCCACCATCACTATTGTCCATTGCCACCCATTACCATAACCCATCACCACCCATTGCTCATCGCCACCCACCATCGTCGTTGCCTCACCACCACTACTAACCACCATCATCGTTGCCCACCATTATCACTATTGCCACCTCCATAAATTTCATCATCAAAAAATAAAAAATAAAAAATTCCACCAACCAAAATATATCAACCCGCAACAAAATGTTGCAACAGATAATATAAATTTAGTTAAGAAGAAGATATTGTACCTCGTTTGAAGGGATTTGGTTAGATTAGCGATACAACAAAGATTGGTGAGAGAGAAGATGGCTCCGGCGTTGTTCGTAGTCAGCGATAAAGAAGGTAGTGTCGTTGGTTGGCGAGAGAGAATGTAGTGTTGTCAGTCAGAGAAATTACTATCAGTGTTGGCATTGAGATTAGAGTGACTATATGACTAGTTTTAGCAGAGAGGTATCAGGGGACTGAGGTGAAAATGAAAAGTGATTCTTTAAAAATAAAAGTTAATTATTTTTATTTTTTTTATTAACTTATTCAAGTGGTCAAATTACTTTTACTTGTCAAAAAATGTTTTTAATAAGTTAAGTCAAACACACTCTTAATCTATCTATCTATTTTGTGGATTAATAGACTATTGCGATTGAATTGATAACACATTCTAATATTAACTATTATTCAAAATACAATAAAAATAATAGATCAATTAGGTTAACAAATTATATTTAAATAATATTATTAACAATTTTTTAGTACACAAAAGCAATCCCATCCGTACTTGAATTTCCATATTCAAAAATACCATTTGATAATACTTTTTAAATAATATTTTTTGTAAAAAATAATTGTATCATAACCAAAGCATAATTAGTCACAATATGATAAAAGCATCCATATGAATCTTAGTATATGAATTACATGATGATATATGCATATGTATATTTGGGAGGGGGGTTATGAGGATGTTTTTGTTATTGTGTCTGTGTACAGTTGCAAAATCTTCTATTATTGGGAAAAACTTGTTTGATTTTCTTTGATCAAGGAAGCTTCAACGGTTTTGACTAGGGCAAGGCATGTGCTGCCAATTGTATGTAGTTTGTAGATAAATATCTTTATAATAAAGGAATGTAATACACGATTTTCTCACCAAACTTTCTCATGGCATCAAAGCAATATCGATCTTAATCGACGCATTCCCGTCTTATTCATCCTTCAAAATTTTTGAGAACGCAAAACCACTCACAAGTATTATGTTATCACCATGGCTTCTGCTAA